CACGCCCAAGCTCCTAGCCTCTCGCCCAACGCCCATCGCTCCACGCCCCTCGCCCCTCGCCCCTCGACCCTCGTCCCTCGCCCCACGCCTCTTGCCCCTCGAACCGCACATCTCGCCTCTCGCACCTTGCCCCTCGCCCCTCACTCCTCGCCCCCTGTGGAAACTAGCTCAGAGAATTCCCTGTAAATAGTATTTTGTGAAACAAAACATTTTATTAATTAGTTGTTATTTTTTAATTTATGTATTTTTTGGTTTTTCAAAAAATGGAGAAAAGGGCTAATGACAGATGACTGTGTTCACGTTAGCGGACAATGAATATGAAATTGAAAATATATTTTACAAAAATTTATCGTAAATTTAACTTAAGCAAGCAGTGACCAGTTAGTTAATAACTCACGTTTTTTTAACAAAATGAGTTTCGTCGCGAGTGTTCTACAAATTATTATTAAACGTTTATAGAATTACCCCCTTTTAACAAAAATCGAGTACTGCATTCTGTTCTTTTCATTACTTATTTACGACATAGTTAGCCAAAATTATTTTTTGGTGAAGTACCATCCAAACGACTTTGATTCTGATCTCTTGTTGAAATGTTTTTATAAGTGAAGCATATATTGAGAATAGTAGTTATTCATGAAAACAAAATAAACGGCTGATGATCATGGCCCCGAAAGATGTAAGTAGAGTTTTTGGTAAATAGACCTTCCAGACCAGAGAACGATAGCTCGCTTCAATGACTGCAATTTCTTACTAATTATCTGGCAATAATCGCAATAGGAACAATTAATTCTAAAAGCAAAGTTTTAATATCTGGAAGTCAAAGTAAATTTCACTCCATCATTAAATATTGACTCCTATTTGAAGAGAAAAATATTTTGTGGACCTTACTTCGAGGCAACAATGTTCAACCAGTGTTATCTATTAAAAATACTCGAACCAACTTTCGTCTCATCTATATTTCGTCGCTATTGAAGAGTAAATTAACTGAAATGATGTGGTGTTGATGAGGAAAGGCATAATATTATTTTTGATTTGGTAATATAAATGATTTTAATATAACAGTTTGCGAACAGTGGTGAATTTTGATACAACTAAGAAAATCATGTAAATATGAAATATATTTCCACGAGCATAATATATCTAAAAAGGGCTCGTTTTTCCTTTTTTATATATTTTCATTTCTCAACGAATTTCATTATTCATTCACTTAATTTGCGTAACGTCTAGCTCTTTTCCAATTGGAATTGTTTTGGTAAATCTATTTTAATGAGTCAACGAGGGCACTATGAAAATGGGTCAATACAGTCGCAAGCTATTTTGATTCAGATTTGAAAGGCACGAGTGGGGATACTATTGCGTATGTTAACACAACGGATTAGGGGACTGAACTACGCAATTCTATGTCGCTTTATGCGGTATCGAATTTAGCTGTTGGATTTGCATGTAAACGGTGGGGTTTCGGCTTAAAACGTAGTAGCGAGGACGGAACGTTCTCTGTCATATCCTCTTTACGCGGCTCCGCTTATACTACAGCGAGGTGGATAATGCTGTGTTTGTGTCCTGCATATCCCTGGAGCTGCATTTACTTCCTCCGTGATGCTTTGGCGCATGCGCTTTCACGGGGAAAACTGGAGGAAAGTAAAACGTGTGGATTATCATGTAGTAGATGGAAACAACGTATTTTGCCGACACGGTAGTTACCGTGTTATAAAATGTGCTGTTACGAAGAAGTTTCGATTTCGTTCAACAAACATAACAAGCTCGTGAAAATGGAAGCCATTTAGCACGTAACCGTTTTGCAGTAATTTCATGAGATAGTATTTTTTATGATTTCGTCAGTATCCAACCTGCGTTGTTTGCTGATTCGAGGTATGAATTGTACTTTGCTTTTGTTTTAGATTCTCTGATATTTTGTTAATATTTAATATTTCAAGTGTATATTGTGTTGAAGGCCCTAAACGATAACGTACTAATAATATACAAATGAGGAGTACTAGAAAGTAATTTGATCGATTTAGAAGAATTCAAAGTGGGGAAACATTGGCAAATTCTCTTCTGAAACATCGCAGCTATCTCATTCACATTGACACCTATTTTACACAATGTTGGTTTGTCAAGATGTGTGTGTGCGCGTGTGTGAAGTATCTTTTTTTAAAGTCTGATGAAAATGACCTATATGTTGGAAACCCTCAAAGATCATCTTCAACCTAAACCGTTTCATGATAACAACGGAGGGACTGCAGGGCAAATGAGAGAACAACCACCTCAGAACCACGAAAAGAAAACCCGCACACGCGAGAACGAACGGGGTAAAATCTCAAGACTCCCCTCCCGACACATTTCCGCGCCGCTGAAGGGCCTCTGGGCTCCACCCGAGCGCGCAAACGGGCGTCTTCTCGCCTCGGCACCGACGCGGGCGCGCGCGGGGGAGCGCGGGCGCATTCAGAGCTCGTTCCTCAAGAGGGTGCGCGAGACGGCAGCAGCGGCGGCGGCGGCGGCGCCGCGCCGGACGGCAGCCGCGGGCATTTGCATGATAACGGGCGCCTCAACAAATCTTCGCGCCCCGCAAGACGCACAGCGCGCCCGCGCCGTTCACGCCACAAACACCGCCTATGGGCCTACCCAACACGAGGCCCGCTAGGCGACAGACACGGGACAGGCGTCGCACGCGCCGTTGGTCTTCGTGGCGGCGGCCGCCCTCAGCCATACGTGGCGAGGAATGCAAGTCAGATCGGTTGCACTCGGCGGAGGTTAGATGACTATAGGTAACAAAAAGAAATTTATTGACAATGACAGGTAGGTGATAGAAAG